CCGTGGGCCAGGGTGTTGATTTCTACTGCCCCTTCTACCCCCCCATCACCAGCCCCCTCTTTCCACCCAGTCCCACAGCAGCCAAGACCTTCACCAGACCCTTCCCCATCTCCATGGGGTGGGACACATCCTGCTCTGCTCCTCGGCAAGAAGAACCGCAAGGACTCGCTGATATCGCCCCAACCCTCCCTGCACCAGTGCTAAAGGTGTTCATCAGCACTTTTAATTAATTGCTGGCCCAAATGAGTGGCCAATAAATAAATAAAGGGGTCGAGCATGATTGCACGTGCGGAGTAACTGAAGCTCTCTCCTATCCTGGTGCTCTTTGTTTGGCTCTGCCACAGGCCAGCAGCATCCGTGGTTTGGCTTTAGGAGCAAGCACTGTCCTCCAGAGCAGTGGCCTGGGTGGGAGGGAATGGTCACCTACTCATGGGGCAGGAGGGAGCAAAGCCCCACTCACGTAACCCCTGCATGGCACTAATTAGTAAATAAACGGAACTGAGGCCCTCTCTCCACACAGATTAACTAGACACTGAACGTCCTCCACCAGCTCCCCCCTGGCTGCAACCCATCTCCAGCCCCAAGGGCAGGTCCCTGTGGGGACAACAGCAGCCCTCAGCCCCATTTGGTGGAAGGAGAGTGTCTGCAGAGCCCGTGGGGAGAGAAGGTGCATGGGCCACAGTGATGCAGACCATGGCGAGGGTCATCATGGCGAGGAAGGCCACGGTGGAGAAGGCTGGGGTGAAGATGGCCACGGTGAGGATAGCTGTGGCGAGGAAGGCCATGGTGAGGAAGGCCATGGCAAGCATGGCCATGGTAAGGAAGGTCACGGTGAGGAAGGCCATGGCAAGGCAGACCACAGGGAGGAAGGCCATGCTGAGGGCGTGGTATGCCATGGTGACAAAGGCCACAAAGGCCGTGGTAAGGGTGGCCACAGCGAGGAAGGCCGTGGAGAGGAAGGTCGTGGTGAGGAAGGCCACGGTGAGAAGGCCCAGTGGTGAGGAAGGCCACGGTGAGGAAGGCCACGGTGAGGATGGTGAACCGCGACCTCCGGGGCACCGAGAGGCAGCGGGAGCGTCCCG